AAAAAATGGTTGCCTGTAAAGTCGGTTTTACGGGCGAAGATTTTACGTGACAACGTCTTTTTCTCGGTAGAATATTTATTGATATGAATATAATTAAATTGCACAATAGGAACAAGGAATTGAATGAAAATAAGAATTGCACAAATTTTAACTATAGAAATATATTTTGTTTACTAAAACATTGTACATGTAAACTTAAACTTAACACGAGAGACTCATCGTAACGTTACCGAGCGTTACACTTTTTCATAAGTGACTCCCAGCCGCAACCTAATTTAAGACGTTGTCACGTCAAAACAAGCGAGCCTTACAGCAATCGCGTATAATGTGTAACATTTGAAACCTCAGCTTTAGTAAAAAAGGAATAAAACGTACTACAAAAGAATAAGCCATTTGAACATTATGTTCTAATTTATTTATTACTTTTATTAGAAGGTAGCTCGACAAATTAAATAAAAGTTTTATTATGACGACGAAGCCTGTAAAGGCTACGAAACGTCAATAAATAAATAAAGTTTCGTGCATTAACCCGTAAAAACTAGTTTTATTTATATTATGTCCTAAAATCAAATCAAATAGCGAGCGCTTTCGCGACTTCCTGTTACACACTTCCGTTTCCCATTTCACGAAATCACTCCCACAAATTGCAAGAAAGCGAGAGGAAAGATGTTACACATCAAAAACTTTGATCCGGTTAAGCGATTTTGATTTTCCACTGTCGATATGGTTACCGTTATCGACGTTAACTTCATTCGGTTCAAGTACTTGTTAATTAACATAACTCTTCAAAATCCATAAGAGTAATTTTACTAACACAACTTTATACGAAACGCCTGGACGGTTTAGTACGAGAATAAAATGATAACTGAGTTTATCTATATCTAGTCGAACATTTCTTTAGAGAACATAATTTTCATACTTACTGGTTTAAATACATTTTCATAATATTTATATAAACATTTTACTCTAGTAATTTTTGACATGGGTAGAATTAGAATCCTTGAATAGAATTGTAATATTTTGTAATTCCGTGAAAAACTATATAAAAATTAAAACCAAAAATGAGTAGATGTATTAATTAGTACCCAAAAACAGATCACAAAAATGATATAAAACTAAAACTATGATAATGGCAGTTATCATTTTATTCTCCGGGGACGGCGATATGTATTCCAAGTTTTTGTTGCATTATCATAAATTTTGGGAAGCGGTTACATCTCATTCAATGTGTACTTCAATCCTAGACACTCCAGGGGCCGTATAATCAACACTTAATGCCAGGCAACTTCCATTGTTAGAGCGAGACATCACATACGCACAGTAGAGCAGCATTCCACTTCAACCGCTGTCTTTGTCTGGCTTTAAGCCTTCATAATACAGCCCCTGAACTGTCTTTAACCTTATTAGCACAAAAAAAGATAGAAATTCGTTCAACATGAGTTTATGACCCCTATTTTAATTTAATTTAACTTTAATTTAGTCTTTTGTATAAATTGCATGCCATTTATGGTAAAATATGTAGAATCTATTTGTATACATGTCATCTTATTGTACCATATTCTTTGCAATAAATAAATCTAAATCTAAATGTAAAAAAATTGCACACGATATTTTCCTTAACAAATTTTGAAACCGTGCTTTTTTGTAATAAGACCGTAAAAGCTTTTTTCTTATTTTGTATGCTAAGTACTCGTGACAAACAGTCACGAAAGAGTCAATTAGTACAATATACGTGGTAAAATTTCACTTCGATATTCTATGAAAACGCCAACTATTCATTTTCTGGTAAAACGAAAATACTAAAGCTTTTCAACATAATCAAAACTTAGTTTCAATAACCGAACTAGTGGCAGCGAAAAATTAAATAGTTTATTTAGAATGTTTTATCGGGGTATTTGCGTATAAGAAATTGTACGTTTTGCGTTATATATGATGCTGACAACTGATTATTATGTACAACGGGTTTCAAGGTGTACCTATTCGAGAGATCCTGGGTTCAAATTCCGGTGGGAGCAGATGTTTGTGTGATGAATACAAACATTTGTACTTCAGTCATTGATGTTAAATATGTATTTTTATAGAAATATATTATACGACCTCCGTGGCCGAGTGGTTTGTACGCTGGGTTTCATGGTGTCGCCGACTCTAGAAGTCCTGGGTTCAAATCCCGGTGGGGGCAGATGTTTGTGTGATGAATACGAGCATTTGTACTCCAGTCATGGATGTTTAATATGTATTTTCTATATAAATATACTTATTTAAGTACAGTATATGTATTCTATCCGTTACCCTAGTATCCAATAACACAAGCCTTATAGTACTTACTTTGGGGCTAGGCTAATTGGTGTGAGTGTTGGAAATATTTTTTATTATTATTTTATTCTGATAAGATTAAATGACAAGTTATAAAAAATGTATGCAGTCGAAAGACCTCTTACATTGAAAATTGTTCTATGAAATTGGTAACCGCAAAGACTTAATTGTTTTTTTTTTCTTTAGTTCCGTTTTTGGCAAAGCAGTCGTGTTTTATATACTAACTTCTCACGTTGAACTCACCCAACTTATTTCTTGGAAACAATAGTGACAGCAAAATGATGGATAGGATATTGGGTGGTCGCGGTTGTTATATAAAGGTACCTACTTAGGAACTTATTTAAAATAATAGGAATTATGGTTATCATTGAAATTTTATATCAATTTACTTTTATTTAGATTTAAACATCAAGCAGTTACATGCTTAAAAAAATAAAATTATAACAGTAACTATAATTGCTATTTCTTCTTTCAAATGATTAATACTTATAAAAGTATTCATTTGACATTGTGGGTTACCTACAATGCGAAGAAATGACGCTGTCTTGCAGCTTTAAGAATGGCTAGAAGAATTTCGACGCGGCCGTCAGGGCCGCGGTAGCATAATTAGTCAGTGCATTCGCCCGGATTACGAAGGGTGCAGGTTCGAGTCCCGTCTGCTGCCTGGTCCGCGTGGAATTTTTCTAATTATATTTTCTTAAGATTTAAACATCAAGCAGTTACATGCTTAAAAAATTAAAATTATAACTATCAATTTACTTATTATAAAATCTTAATTATATAATTAATCATGATTATCACATGAATGTGAAAACTTCTTTATTTGTTCCAAAAATAATGATTTGGAAATTAATAATGATTTCTCACATGCTTTTCAGAATCATCAGTTTTTAGTATTCGACAAAATTGATAAAAATAAACCGGTTGCCTAACAATCCTGGCGGATAAAAGCAAGGTCATCAACGTATATGTTATGTGATATGGTTTAAAACACATATTATGTAATTTTAAATTGTGAATAATCCTTCTACACTTGTAGATAACTACAATATTAAACGAGATATTTTTACAAGTTACTGGAACTTCGGAAGTAGACATCGCTATGTAGTTAAACAAAATAATCATCATCATCAGCCTATTAACGTCCGCACTGCTGGGGCACAGGCCTTCCCTATGGATGGAATAGGGAGATTGGGCCATGACCCACCACGCAGGCCCAACGCGGATTGGTGGGTGCTGACGACTGCAGATGCAGCCGGGACCAACGACCTAACGTACCTTTCGAAGCACGGAGGAGCTCGAGATAGTAAATTTTTGGCCACCCATCCAATGACCGACCCCTGCAAAAGTTGCTTAACTTCAACGATCGCAGCTGAACGCGCTCACCATTGCGCCATCGAGCTCCTCGATCTAACAAAATAATACACTAACTAAACCCCTCAAAAGGGCCGCATAAATCATCACACCATAAAAGTATTACCCGACATTTTGTGAAATACTCCCCGATATATTGGAGGTGGTAAAACCCTGGATTATCTAAAGGGATTACCCGGGTACGAGGCCACGATCAGAGGCCGGCAGATCGCGCGACCGACCGTAACTAATACTCCGGTCAATCTATACACCATCGCGGCCCTTTTTATGGCTTCAGAAGCCGCAAAACTGAGGCTTTTATTTTCGGCCGATTACGGTTTAAAATTACGCTCACCCTCAAGTTATTTATGTTTTAAATAATTATAATAATATGCCTTAATAAGCCGTCTTGTAGTCATTTAGCGGTTTCAGATTGAGCAGGGTCTAACGCAAATGATTTGAGTATTATGATGACTATTTTCCAAACCTTTGTTGTTAAAATTTTGTGATGAGATTTTTATTTCGTTAAGTTTTTCTTCTTTTCTGCAATGAAATTATCTGGACGCCCTCTCATAGTTTAAATATGAATATCATTCATATAAATAATGCAATCTGATAGGTTTTATGAAAAGAACATGTTAAAAGCGTTAGATCGAAGCTCTCATACAATGTTCAATATCATATTTGTTGAATTTAATTGAGAAATTGTTTTGATAACTTACGTTAAAACAGGCCTTTTTACTACACTGAAATTATGTTTTAACTTAAGTTACCTTAGTAACTTGGACTTATTAAATATTAATAAATAGTTTTTCAATGTTATGTCTTGTTATTTACGCGTGTCCTTTAAAAAGCACAGTTACAATTACAATTTAGAAATACATCAAGCTTTCTGTTAACAAGCGAGCCCTTGTGATTAATTGTGTAGCAGGGATCAATCGAAGCTCAGTAATAAGTAGTCTAGTAGTAGTAATGTATACAAAATATTCATTAATATGATCGTTAAAAGTTTTATGAAAATTTAAATTAATTGGAAGTAGCTTAATTATGAAGATTTTTTCACGACCTTCGCACAGTTGAGACCATATCGATAGATACAATACAATACATATAACAGCGACCAAGCCTCCATTACTTGTCAGAAAGAGATACGATAATGAGCGTAAAAAGTCCTAAAACAGACTCGACTGTACTGCAGTGAATGCGCTAAATTCCTAATGATCAAATTTTTAAGTTTTCAAAACGATATTTGTATAAAAATATCCAAAATTAATCGCACACTTAGAATTCTCCCTGGATTGCTGAAAAAAAAATCGTAAACTAACAGTACTCACTCAGTTTCGTTGTTTTCGAAGATAACGTAACCTTGGGCGGCTTCGTACTGCGCTCCACTCTTCGCAGTGCCGTCTTCGGTCCAATACGGCACCCTCACCTTGCCTCGTGCTCCCGCTGTTCTCATCACTTTCAAATCGAACGTGCCTACTGATTCAGTCAGTTCAAAGTCTCTCTGGGGAAACGAGAACACACCGGAATGATCATCGTCCAATATTACTACAGTCGCCGTGGACGGCGAGGCCAAACATGCACCCTTGGGAGAAACCAAACGCACGAAGAAATGCTCATCTTCCTCGAAAACGTCGTCATCGATCACTTGGACGTTGAAGGTCTTCTCGACTTCACCGTGTTTAAACAACAACGATCCTTGAGCTGCAACGTAATCCGAACCAGCCTCTGCAGTCCCATCTTCGGTTGTATATTCGACGGAGATTTCCCCATTCAAATCTCCAGCTCGTACAACGCGTACCTCGAATGAGCCGCAGTTTTCCATCACTGTGTAATGATCGGGGTCGAAACGAACATTCGGACCTTTAGGCTCGATAGATGGGGAACTCGATTCGCGCCTCTGTAATTCAGCCTTCACTTCACTCAAATCACTCTGAGCTCTCTCCGATATTTTGCGGGAAAAATCTCCACCTCCCGTCATTTTCCTAGTCGCAGCCACTCTATAAAACGCTCTCGATTTTGGACCCCGGGCCATCAATGCTTCCAGTGCCATTCGTTCAACAGTGTCCAAGTCCTCTTCGGGATGTTGCCTTCTAAGATCTCTCAGAACGGCGACGTACTCCTTTCGGGATTTCTCTACCTCTCTACCTTCTTCATCATCAGAAGCAAAATCGTCGCCACTTGGCTTCAACGCCATTTCAACGGAGCCATCACCTTCTGCTTCTACAATAACTCCTCTTTCATTTACTCGATATCCTTTCTTTAAATATTTATAGACTAGAAGTCGTCTGTCCGCAATGTAAGCTGTTAATACTGTCGCCGGGAAGAAAAGAAAAGTGACAGCTCCTTCCCAAACTTCAACTTCACTCGGTGATATAACCGCCAATATGAGGTAAAGCCAAACATAAGCGAACACCGACCAAGTAGCAGTCACAAGAAACACCCTAAGATGTTTAATCTTCCTCACTTCTCCGTCAGGAATCACACTCACGCATATGGCTATTATTACAAATAAGTTGTAAGCGGCCGAGCCGACTATGGTGCCAGGCCCTAATTCACCAGCCTCGAAATTCTTCCCCGCTATCTCGATAACTGAGAGCAGAATCTCAGGAGCGCTAGACCCTAAGGCCATCAGGGTCAAGTTGGCAACGGTCTCATTCCAGACCCTGACTACGATGATCTGTTCGGTGCCGTTTCGTCGCACGCGCACCTCTTTCTCTCGCGAGGTGATGACTTCTATGGCGGCCATGAATCGATCGGAGACGATGGACACGCCAATGAAGAGGTACATGAGGCAAAGGAAGTAGGCGAGGCCACGAAGAGCGATATCGAGGGTCGGAACATCCTCGAGAGGCCGCCACGCCGGGAGGACGAGGCCTTCTTGGCATTGCAACACGTGGTGGGGGGTGGTGTTGCGCGGGGCGAGGCGCGCGGATGGCAGCTCGGCGCGGGCCACCACGCAGCAGGCCGCGAGCGCGGCGAGCGCGGGCCGCATGCCGCGTTAGGTAACGCGGGCCATGCGGGGCGACCGGCGCTGGACAAGGCCGGCGCCCGACTGAGCGTCGCGACGCTTCCCGCGCTGCGTTATTCGCGATCCTTTTGAGCCGCCGCGGGTGAGCCGTCTCGCACCGCACGTATCCACCTCACACTCGCGAATGGAGTTTTATTGCAGCCGTAGGCCGTAAACGCGGATAGATTCTAGAAAGAAAACGTTATTAGCCGAGAGCGGTGCGACGGCTTATTAAACTTTGCTTAGAACGTAACGAAATATACTTAATCGCGGACGGATACAGTTTCGCGAGCCAAGGAAACGACTTTTCGTGGAAGTTTTGTAGATTTTGACGATTCGAGAGAAAGGCGAGGCAAGGGTGTGGTGGCTATTCGAAAGGACCGCCGGATAAGACGATTGTGCTTCGTGTACACGCGAACGGTAGCACGCGAACGTCGCTTTAATTGGTCTGGTATTCGTATGAAAGAGAACAAAGTTGCGTCATTGAAAAAATACTTTTCAGAGCATAAAAGATTGGTAGCTTTTCTATGAAAGCTCCAAATTTTTGTGTTGTCATCATCATCAGCCAGTCCTGCGCTTTGCGCATCTGCTTTTTGCAGTTTTTGTGTAAATTTAATAAACCATTAATCAACACATTTCAACATTTGCATGCATAATGCACTTAGCTGTAACGAGTTCGCGGATTGTATTGATACGATACAATTCATTAATGAATTATTCGAAATAAATTTAATTCTGTTAAACATATTAAATATGAATCGAATTCCGTAACGATAATCAACACTCAGCCATTTTAGTACCGACCCGTCGCGCATTAATAACGCAAATTAATTACTGATACTGAACAAAGTTTATGGTTTCGTTCGCTTAAGTGGTTTACGAAGCCGATTACTTTATGGAACTTTATTTACATTTGCGATAGACCTAAGGTTGAACACACAAATTTAAATCTTACTTAAGTGAGGCCGTTTTCATTTCATGGAAACTCGTTTAAGCTCGTTATCTCCGAGTACAATGCATTTTTCTTTTCCATAACGTTTTAAACTTTCTACACTATTTTCTTAGCAAAGACTGGGTCTGTAGGGAGAAATAAATTCTCACTTCCGAGTTCGATAGCTCCAATTTCAGTTACGTCATGACACGAAAAAATAAATGACGATTTAACATTTACGAACCACAGAATGAGATGTCAAATTCAAACGATTGCCAAAATTTCGAATTAACCTGTACCCTTAGCACGAACCATTATCGAAATGTCAATGTCAAATTTTGTACCTATGGAAACTTGAACAGCAGCGGCACAAAGTACGTAACGAGAACTAAAAATCAGTACACATTTGACAATGACATTTCGGACTCGCAAACGTTACGAATACGATATTGGTTCGTGCTAAGGGTACCTACTGAAGGCACGATTATGGCTTAATTACACTTGTTCGTTAGCTCGTATTTGGGTATACGAAAGACATTACTCGCACTCCCGGGTGCCCGAAGCAATATTTACTCTGGAATACGGACTGGAAGACGGTGTCGGGTAATCAAAACGAGCACACACAAATACGGGGTATACAATATATAAAGTAAAACTAGTTTTAACGGGTTAACGCACGAATTTTTTTTTTTTAACAAAAAGTCTTTCGAAGGTAGCTCGACAAAGTAAATAAAAAATCATTATTCTGATGAAAAGACCTAAAAAGGCTGCGAAACGTCAATAAATAAATAAAGTTCGTGTATTAACCCGTTAAAACTAGTTTTATTTTAATGAGTGATGTGCGTGAAAACCTAAGAAACAAATATATCTAATACATAAAATTCTCGTGTTGCGGTGTTTGTGGTTAAACTCCTCCGAAAGGGCTTTCCCGATTCTCCTGAAATTTTGTGTGGATATTGGGTAGGTCTGAGAATCGGACAACATCTATTTTTCATCCCCCTAAATGTTAAGGGTAATCCACCCCTAATTTTTTTTTCAATTTTAGTTATATTTTTTTTATGATACATCATACAAAAATACATACATCCCTAAATTTTCAACTTTCTACCACCAACCCCTATTTTTTTATGGCGGTACGAAGTTCGCTGGGTCAGCTAGTACAATATTGTATATTTCCATACGCACTAGTATTCGGCCTAACGACAAAATGTAATCGCGCCAGTAGGCATACGCGCTAACGATCTTCGAAAAAGACATGATTAAGAGGGGAGGCGCACAACGTTTTTTCCATACAAACGTTTTCGACTGATTCCTCTTAGATTTTTATCACTGAAGAATTGATTTCTATACATAAACCAGAATTTTACTCTTTCTATGCTCATATCTTTTCTTTTATTCGATAACTTGTATTTCAAAGAAAATAGAAACCCTCGAGAAAGGCCAAAAATAAACAAATATTTATTACCACTAAAGACGTCTAGTGTGGAGATTTAATAACCATTTACAAAAAAAACAAAGCATAGAGGCATAGTATAACTACCTATTATTCTTTGTGTAAAATTTCTTTTACATATATCTTATTTTCGAGGAGGAAATCGGCGAGAGCCAAACCTCGAATTTGCAATTTTTATACGCAATTTTCAGCGTTAACTACTGTTGCCCTATCACACGGTTTTTGTTAATGCGTGACAGAAATAGTTTTTTTCAAATACCTATTTCCCAAATGATCAAAAAAAATTTTTCCCCGCTCAAAGTACTTACTCGATGCCTTGGATAGGTTGCAGCGGCGCGCTGTCCACATCATTGGCGATGAAGAGGTAACTAACAAACTCGAGTCTCTACAATTACGCCGTGATGTGGCATCATTAAGCGCATTCTACCGACTATACCACGGCGAGTGTTCTGAGGAGCTATTCTCGCTTATCCCTCCATCACCTTTTCTTCAAAGGACCACGCGCGCTGGCCCACGTTGCTACCGACTTACTGTGGCCTCTATTCCTACACGAACAAAGAAATTTGGTGACTCATTTGTTTGTTGTACTATTCGTAAGTGGAATTCTTTACCCGCGCACGTGTTCCCTCCTCCCTATAATCTGGGGTCCTTTAAGAGAGGCGTGAAGAAGCATTTTTGGAGGCCGGCAAGATGAGGATGGTTGGTGTAGCAGTTTATAATTGCTGTACCAGCTATCTTCACGTTTGGACTTTATCACCTCTTAACATCAGGTGGGGTAGAGTCATTTGCTTACCTCGCTATAAAAAAAAGTGAACAAATAATTCAACTGACTAAAACACTATGAGCATTATTTTATTTAAACAAACCCTCTTTATATTTTGACGAACGCAAACGAAACACCACCAAAACATCTTCAAATAAATATTAGAAGTTGTAATTCCATTAACATTTCTAAGTTTATTTGCAGTCAAAAGTAGATGGGATCATTTGCAATGTCAGCCTAAGTATGAAAAATATTCTACTTGGTCGTTAGTACGCGCGTTTTCGTTTCGATCCAACTAGAACGCGGACCCGCGAATTGCAAATGATCCCATCTACATTTGAATGCAAATAAAGTTAGAGATGATAATAGAACTAGCGGCCCGCCCTCGCTTCGCTTCGGTGTAGAACTGAAGTGTAGACTACAATTTTTGTTCCCAGGCTTGTATTATACACAATGACATTCATCTATGATTCTTCTTATACCTGCATGCAAAGTCTCAGCCCGATGTGTTTAAAATTGACAAAGTTTTATACAAACTTTCATTCCCTATTAGGTAGAATTGATCAAAATCCTTTCGTAGCGGATGCCTATGTCATAACATCTACCTGCATGCCAAATTTAAGCCCGATCCGTCCAGTGGTTTGGGCTGTGCGTTGATAGATTACTATGTCAGTCAGTCATAGTTTACAGTTTTATATATATAGATTATTTTCTAATTCCGATAAGGCTATTTATTTATGTGATGAGCTCAAAACATATTTTTTCCCGAGTCTTGATTGTAGGTCTACTGAAATTAGTTTCAGCTTGTGCCTTGTCACACCAAAAAAGTTTGACATACATTCAACACGACCTTAAGGAAAATGTCATACAAAATTTGCCTTTTAAAACAGTGTCCAACTTTTTTGCAGTAAGACCGATTATATTTATTTGGACTAGTTAATTGGTTGAACCAGGGATAAATATAAAAAAAAACGAATAAAATTTACCTCTTAATTCAATAACAAAATAAATAATAATAAATAAAAAAATATTTTCGACACTCACACCAATTAGCCTAGCCCCAAAGTAAGCACTGTAAGGCTTGTATTATGGGATGCTAGGGCAACGGATAGAATGCATATACTGTACATATATAAGTTAGATGAGTTGACTGCTGGTCAATGGCTGCCTTAGACGAGTTGACGACTGAGGGCTCATGCGATCCGATTGTATATATGAAGTTGGGTTTGGCGTTTACGTTATTATATGTTTCTTATTCTTAGCCATTTTTAAAGTAATATACCAACTAATCTCCAGTATATTTATATAGAAATATATATTAAACGTCCATGACTGGAGTACAAATGTTCGTATTCATCACACAAACATCTGCCCCCACCGGGATTCGAACCTGGGACCTCACGAGTCGGCGACACCATGAAACCCGGCGTACAAACCACTCGGCCACGGAGGTTGTCAAGTTACAAGTTAGTTAAAATAGTTACATAGACAAAATTTTATTTATTTATTTATCTTTAACAAAGTTTCTACAGCGGTTTTTTGTGGAATTTAATACAATAAAATATAAATACAATCTTAAGGTCACTTACAGAAACTCATTATGTACACATTAGATACTAACGGCGTTATTATATATTAGTAATTATAACATTGAATTTTAAAATTATATAAAATTCATATAATTTACTAACATAAATAATATAATTAAATTAAGGTTGGACAAAACATAACAAAATGACAAAAAAAAAGAAAAACAAGCTCTTAATACCCATACAAAAGGGTTTTCAAGAATTTGTCACATGATAACTTTATGAAATGTGGGCGTGTGTGTGTGTGTATGTGTGTGTGTGTGTGTGTGTATGTCTGTGTGTGTGTGTGTGTGTGTGTGTGTGTGTCCATGCAGCTGCAATGCTATGCCTGGTAACGAGATGGCGGACGACGCCGCAATCCGGGCACTACATCATTCAAGTACTTGAGTGTGTGTGCTTGT